CCTCGTAGGAGCAGTAGTTGGCCTCTGCCGGGTTGCAGCTCCTGCTGGCGAAGGCCACTACCATCTCCTGCCCCTCTTTCTCCTGACACAGTATGGCTCCCATGCCTGCACTGCTCCAGTCGGTGTAGAGCACAAAGGGATCCTCCTTACTGGGCAGGGTTAGTACCGAAGCCGTCTTCACAGCGGTGAGTAGAGCCTCCAGCGCCCCTTGCTCGGCCTCTCCCCACTGCCATGCTTGCTCTTCCCGCAGTAATCGATTCAGTACTGCTGCCGTCCGGCTAAAGTTGGGCACGAACTTGCGGTAGTAGTTCAAGAAGCCCAACACCGCCCTTAGTGTTGTCCGGTCCTTGGGGGCGGGTACTCGATCCAGCACCTCAACCTTGGCCTGCTGGATGCTCATCTTCCCTCCCTGCACCTCAAATCCCAGGTACTTCACTGCCCTGCTGCCGAACTCACACTTCTTCGGGTGGCAGGTTAATCCAGCTCCCTGGATGGCCTCCAGGGTGGCCTGCACGTCCTTCATGTGTTGCTCGGGGCTGGGACTGAAGACGATGACATCGTCTATGTAGCAGGCAGCGGCTGGCACGTTCCTCAAGACTGCGTCCATCACTCGCTGGAACAGCGCCGAGGCATTCCTCATGCCAAACGGCATGCACCTCCACTCGTACAGTCCGCCTGGCCCATGGAATGCTGTCTTCTTTCGGTCCTCTGCTCTGATGGGTATCTGGTTGAAGCCTTGTCTGAGATCTAGCGTCGAGAACACAGCTGCCCCCTATAGCTTGTCAAAGATTTCTTCGGCGGATTGCATGGGGTATCGGTCTGCCACGGTGACCTTGTTCAGGCCCCTGTAATCCCCGCACATTCTCCTCGCCGACACCTCCCCTATGAGGTCCTTCCTCGAGGCCACTACTGTCGCTGCTGCGTAGTCACTTTCTGAGCGCTGGATCAACCCTGCCTCTAGCAGCTCCGCGCACTTTTCCATGCATATGTCGATGTCTCCTGGGCTCATCCGTCTCTTCCTCTGGTAGATCGGTATCTCCGTGGTGAGCTTGATTTCCATGACGTGTGACTTGCATTCTCCTAGCTCCTGCAGCGTGTAGGCGAAGCACTGTCGGTGTTGCCTTAACACCTCCTGTAGTTCCCTGGCTGCTGCTGCCCCCATTCCTGAGCCTATGGGCCATTCCTCTTCTAGTGTCCTCTCCCTTTCTTTCACTGCTCCTGCCTTCGTCTCCTCCTCAGCCTCTTCCTCTCTCTTCTCTCCTCCTTCGCATTCCATGGCCATGCATGCCCAGCCTTCTCTGATCCTTTCTTCCTGCTGCTCCTCCATGGCTTGCAGCTGCCTTTTTCCCCTCTCCACTTCCAAGTCCTCCTGGTATCTCACGCTTATCTCTATCTCCCTTTGAATGTCTTTCGTCTTGAGGTGCATGCGAATCGTCTCAATCAGCCAGCTCATGACGTTGAGGTCCATCGCCCTCCCTATCGCCGCTCTTCTCTGCTTCTCTGTCACTCTCGGATGTGCCGTGGCGTCCCACCTGTGCCCCATGGCTGCTTCCCTTTCCCGTGCAGTCGGCTCTTCCCATTTCCCGGCTCTGACGTCGTAGATCATTCCTGGCCCTGGGAGATCTCCCTCCATGCGGAAACCCCAGGATCCTTCGTACGCGACCAGGGTGGGCAGCGCCTGCCGTGGCTTTCCGGGCTCCTTGCATTGGTACTGTGAAGGATGGTCTGGGATCTTGACGGGCGCCGGCAGTCTGTTAGGCCCCAGGATATCGCTCACCAGCCTTGGTTCCGGGCGCTGCATCTGGGCCAGGGAGTGTCTCAGGCTAGCTTCTGACACCCCGTTCTGCCAGTATCTCCTGGGCCGATGCGCCCTGGATCCTAGCTGGGCGGCGTCCACTGCCACCCCTCTTCCCACTGCCGCCTCTATCTCTGCAAAGGCTAGCTTCACGGGCTCCCTCCTGTCCTCCGCCAGGTCTACATTCTCCAGGATGTAGATTACCTCTCCTTGCTTCCTTTGTATCATCTCCAGCACCTTCTGCAGATCCTTGAAGGAAGCACCCCGTGGGTCCTCCATCCCTCTTCCTTCCCCCGCACGGGAGTACCCCTTGCACTCCCATCCGGCCACCACTAGATCCACTTGCCCCCATCTCTCCAGCTGCTCCTCGGTGATATCCCTCACGTCATCCACGGAGGCTTCATCTTCTGCGGGGATGGCTGTACTTAACATCTGCTGGGGGTAGTCTTCTAGCAGCTTCAAGGCGTGATGCCTGGCCATCCTCCGGACCACTGGGTCTTTCTCCACATGTACCCACTTCCGGACGAAGCAGCCCGCCTTCAGTGCCGCCGCCAAGCCCGTCCCGATGCCTCCATACAGCTCCAGTACACAGAGGGCACTCTCCAGTGCCCACACTCTGCTCACCCTTTCCTTCAGGGAGGGCGGATCTTCCCCTCTCGCTCTCCTTTCGGTCCTGCCCTCGTACTCCTCTGCGTACTGCTCCCAGCTCCAGTCGTCTAGCTCCTCCGACAGGTCCTTCCTCTGCGCCTGGTACGCCTCCCTCGGCTCCTGCCTTACGAATTTCACCGGTAGAGTGCCGACCGAGCTCTCTGGGTCCCAGTAATGCACTCTGTAGAGAACCTTTTCCTGCCAAGTGCATATGGTGGCCCCCACCCTGTAGAGGAGCTCCATGCCCACCAGTATGTCATAGTCCTCTGACTCCGAGACCCCGCAGTTGAGCCTGATGCAACACTCCTTCTCTGTCCCTGGCAGCAGTACCACCTCAATGGGCCTGCGGGTGCGTGGCATCCATTTCGGCTCCCCCCCTTCGGCGGTCATCAGAAGATTACCTCTCTCTACCAGGCGTCCTGGTAGATCCAGCTTCAGGTGCTTCGCCAGGCCCTTGCCGATCAGAACGTGGTGGGCTCCGGTATCTATGATGGCCTGCCCCACGGGCAGGCCTCCTACCGTCAGGCTGCCCTTGTCGGCTATGAGGACGGAGGCTTGGCAGAGCAGCCGCTCGTTTGGGTGCCTGCGCATCCCCGTTCCGCTGCCTCCCCCCGCCCTCTCGTATCGCCGGCTTCTCTCTGCCGTCGTGCCACTCTCTTGCGTCGTTGGGTTTCGGGGCCTCAGGTCTATCTCGTCTCTTTCGCGTGGGTAAGCCATGCAGGAGTACTCCTTGATGTATTCTTCCTCTTCCTCCTCTACTCCCTCCACTTCCTCGTATGCCAGCATGGCTCTCTCCTTGTGCGTGGAGGTCCCCCTTCCTTCCAACTTCAGCTGCAACCGCTTGATCTCTGCTTGCAGCCCTTCCCTTGTCTCCGTCCCCTCTTCTCTCTTCCTGCTGTAGCACTCCGCCCTTTTGTGCCCCCGCTTTCCGCAATTCTCGCAGGTGGGAGCTTTCGGGCAATCCCGCTTCAGGTGTCCCGCGTCTCCGCATTCGTGGCATCTCCTGCTGTCTGGGCGGCTCACCGCGGCTTGCTCTGGCTCCAGCATCGCGGCTGCCCCCCAGGTCGTTTTGGGCTTCGTCCGCGTCTCTCCGTCCTCGAGGTCAAGCAGGCGTTGCGCATGTTCTGTCCGCTTCGCCAACCCATACACCTCCTTCAGTGTAATGTCAGCTCCAATTCCGTACACGTTGTTGCGCACCACCCCCTTCAGCTCCTCGTCCAATCCGCGCACGAACTTGTGCACCAGCAGTCTCTCCTCCTTACACTCCAGGTCGTCGGCCAACTCTTTCAGCCGGCAGTAGTACGCGAGCAGGGACTCGTCCTTCTTCCGGCGGAACTCGCGGAACTCCTCTACTCGCGATTTGGTTTGCCCCAGGAACTCTTTTTTTAGCATCTCTAGGAACCTCGCCGTCGGGTTCTCTATTTCTTGGCATTCTGCTTCCTCCAGTATCTCCTGACGCACCATCCGATAGTAGGTCTCCGCTTCTCCCGAGAGCGTCACCACCATGCGTCTGAAGAACTCACCGGGATCCATGCCGTCTCTCTCCCAACAGTACTTGACCGTCTCCAGCTGCATAAGGTAGTTTTTCAGCGACGGTCCCACTCCTGGAATTCCTGTGAATCGCTCGGCGACTTCGATCTTGGGCAGTCCGGCGGTGGTCCAGCGATGTGCCTTGGGAGATTCTGGGCGAGGCCGTGCGTCAGTCGGGATCGCGACTCTGCTTTCCATCAGCGCGCGGTCTCGCGGGGTCAGCTGTCCCCCGCTGTCGTTCCGCTGAGCCCACTCCTCCTTCTCTTCTCCGGCTTGCCTTCTCATTCCCGGCATCGTCCTCGGCGACCGGGTTTCGTATCTGGTCTCCCACCGCGCTCTTGCTTCGCTCGCCCATTGCGGGTTGATCGGGGTTCCTCCTGGATCCGAACTAATGTGTCGCTTCTCCTCCATTTCGCGTACTCCTTCTCGCGCTCTCTGGTGCGGGGTGCGATACGACAGGGGAGTTAGCCGCGGGCTTTGGCGATCGGCGGTCTGTCCGTCGCCCGTTGTCACTACCCTCGGTTGCGCTCTCCAGCTGGGCGTTGCTTGCTGGCTTTCTCTGGCGTAACTCAGTCTAGAGTTGAGTCGAAACTCGTCGGTCATTGCTTCTTACGCTAGCTTTTGCTTGCGAGTTTGTTAAAAGCTCCTCTACTCTCTGAGAGGAGATTGCTTCCACTGGGGGCTGAGCTCGGCAGACTCACTGCTCTTCCTTGGCTCAGATCGTGCTTGCTAGGATTGGCTCCACTCGTGCTAGGTGCTAGGGGTTTCGCCAGCCTGAATTGTAGCTTAGTGTGAAAACAAACTCGCAAGCAAAGATCCCCTACTTGCGCTACTGCTTAAGTAATTGTGAGCGGTGGTTACCGTTGCCGAGCAACGGTGCTTTCGCACGGCTCGCTTTGTGTTCCCGCTCGAGCATTCCCCTTTTCCCCCTTACTTCTCTACAGTCTATTACGCTCCTTCACAATGTCATGCACCTATCTTATTATATCTATACTAAGTATAAAAGCATGACAGTGATGCAAGCCGCATGTGTGATGCAAGCCGCATGTGTGATGCAAGCCGCATGTGTGATGCAAGAAGCATGTGTGATGCAAGCCGCATGTGTGATGCAAGCCGCATGTGTGATGCAAGCCGCATGTGTGATGCAAGCCGCATGTGTGATGCAAGCCGCATGTGTGATGCAAGCCGCATGTGTGATGCACGCCGCATGTGTGATGCAAGCCGCATGTGTGATGCAAGCCGCATGTGTGATGCACGCTGCATGTGTGATGCAAGCCGCATGTGTGATGCAAGAAGCATGTGTGATGCAAGCCGCATGTGTGATGCAAGCCGCATGTGTGATGCAAGCCGCATGTGTGATGCAAGCCGCATGTGTGATGCAAGCCGCATGTGTGATGCAAGCCGCATGTGTGATGCAAGCCGCATGTGTGATGCAAGCCGCATGTGTGATGCACGCCGCATGTGTGATGCAAGCCGCATGTGTGATGCAAGCCGCATGTGTGATGCACGCCGCATGTGTGATGCAAGCCGCATGTGTGATGCAAGAAGCATGTGTGATGCAAGCCGCATGTGTGATGCAAGCCGCATGTGTGATGCAAGCCGCATGTGTGATGCAAGCCGCATGTGTGATGCAAGCCGCATGTGTGATGCAAGCCGCATGTGTGATGCACGCCGCATGTGTGATGCAAGCCGCATGTGTGATGCAAGCCGCATGTGTGATGCAAGCCGCATGTGTGATGCAAGCCGCATGTGTGATGCAAGCCGCATGTGTGATGCAAGAAGCATGTGTGATGCACGCCGCATGTGTGATGCAAGCCGCATGTGTGATGCAAGCCGCATGTGTGATGCAAGAAACATGTGTGATGCAAGCCGCATGTGTGATGCAAGCCGCATGTGTGATGCAAGCCGCATGTGTGATGCAAGCCGCATGTGTGATGCAAGCCGCATGTGTGATGCAAGCCGCATGTGTGATGCAAGCCGCATGTGTGATGCAAGCCGCATGTGTGATGCACGCCGCATGTGTGATGCAAGCCGCATGTGTGATGCAAGCCGCATGTGTGATGCAAGCCGCATGTGTGATGCACGCCGCATGTGTGATGCAAGCCGCATGTGTGATGCAAGCCGCATGTGTGATGCAAGCCGCATGTGTGATGCACGCCGCATGTGTGATGCAAGCCGCATGTGTGATGCAAGCCGCATGTGTGATGCACGCCGCATGTGTGATGCAAGCCGCATGTGTGATGCACGCCACATGATGTGTGCTTTAGTGTGCCACATTGTGTATGTGCGTGATGCATGCCATGTAGTGTGTTGAGCGTGGTGCATGTCACGGAGAGTGATTGGAGTGACTGTCATGATTCGTCCTCATTGTCCTTTCCAACCTTGCCTCTCCCTCTCTCAGGCCCCTCAAAGCAACTTACTCTCCGCAATCGGTTGGCTGCAATATCAGTAAGTGCCAGTGCAGCACGCACAAAGGTCAACGTCACTTGACCTGAAGTGTGTCATGTACATGCTACAGAAGAAGTCCAAGCACGCTAGCATGTGTCTTTCTCGATCAGACCCATGGCAGAGCAAGGCACACATCCATTCACGTCCACGCAATTCCTGTCGTCGCCTCCCTATGCCTGAAGCCTTGCTTCTGACCCCTTGTCTCTAAATGCCTGCGTTGATTATTTCTTTCTGCTGCCCACAACAGCCACGTGCCACAAGGATTGTGGAGCTGCTGAGTGCGTTGTGAAGGAGGGCAAGCTGCAGTGCAAGTGCCCCGAGGGCCTCGTGTTCAACTCAGCCAAGAAGCTCTGCCGCGCTCCTCCTCCTCGTAGGTGCCTTGCTGCTTGTTGCATGCTTGTCAGCAATAAATAACCAGCCAGGCAGCTTCTCTTGTATGCGATCAGAGAAGCAATTTGTCCATGTGACGCCGGCCACACCAAGAAGAGCGGGCTCTGCGCTGTGGGCGAGTGAACAAGATGGCAAGAGGGGAAGAGGCGAAGAGGATAAGAGATCGATGGGGAAAGAGGGCAAGAGGGCAAGGGGGCAAGAGGATTACTTGGAGAGTGCTTGTGGTGCTTTTGCGTCATTTATATCCCCCCTCTCTTTTCAAACCACTTGCTCTCATTTTCCCAGCCTGCTGCCCCATCCAGCATCATGGTCATTTCCCTCTTCCCCCACCCCCCACCTCCTTATGACGCCAGCCAAGTGCAAGCCTGCCTGCCTGCCCTGCTGATACCCAGCTACATGTTTGCCAACAAGAAAGAATCGTTGTTTTGTGTATTTGCGAGTGTGACGCCGGCTACAGAAAGAAGAGCGGGCTCTGCACTGGCCTGACTGGTCTACCATCTCGCATCTTATGCTGTGACCTGCCCTGTCCTCCACTTGCCCCCTCCCGTTGCAACTGTGAACCAAAATTGTCCTCTATGCAGGGGCCCGTGGACATTGATGAATGGGCGACCTTAGTCAGATGGGCGGGGGGCAAGGAGGCACCAGTCAGTGTCAGGGGCATCAGATGGCCAGGGGTTGATGGGGCAGAGGTACGAGCAACTACATGCGGCTGCTTGGAGGCTAAGAACCAGCTTTAGCTGATGGTTGGCTGAGTCATCTAGTGTACACTAGGAATGAGATTACATGTCGTACCATAAAAGCTCTACTTTGTGTGCTGCATGTCTTGGTTGTTTGTACTTAGCAATCCAAGCTGCCGTATTCCCCCCCCTCTATAACACTCCCGGGTGGCATGTGCGGACGTGGGGTGTTGTATATGTAAGAATGAGAATGGGCTACCGGTAGTATAATCATACAAGGGGGTACTAGTAGTAACCCAGCTCTGTAGAGCACAAACCTAGCTAGCTTATCAAATGTACACCTAACAATACGCAAGTATACTTTGACACCCCCAAGGAGAGGTAATGGGCAGCACCAGCTAGCTTATCAAATGTACACCTAACAATACGCAAGTATACTTTGACACCCCCAAGGAGAGGTAATGGGCAGCACCAAGAATACCGTAGGATGTTACAATCCCATGGAAGACATAGCTAGGAAGGATTCACTTAGGGAATACGTAACGTCCTAACTAGCCATGTACGTATTGTAACAGGCACTGTCCCATATTCAACTGTGCGCCGCGAGAACTCGTTTCAAACCGGCTCCCGCATTTTCCCTTTCAGATGTATCTGCCTGCATTGGTCTTCATCTGACAACTGACTTCGTCGCTTCAAGTCATCTCGACTTTTGGTCTTTATCCTCATCAACACTTGCCTCTGTTACGTTCAGGAATGCGCTTACACAATTTCATTATCGTAACATTCCCCTTCATTCCTGGACGTCGCAGCTTCAGACTCGCTTGCCCATTCCGCTGAGGTTGGCGCAGTGCTGGTACTGCTCGCGTGGCAGTTGCTCGGTGAGAACATCTGCTGCCATGTCAGTGGTCAGGCAGTACGTCAGGTCGGCCTTCCCTTTATCGATTTCGTCCTTGACTAAGAAATACCGGAAGCGCGATGTGCTTCATTCGGTCGACGAAACCGGGCTTCTTCACAATTTTGATCGCGCTCCGGTTCAGCTCCTGCAAATAGATACCTCCGCGAACTACGGCGGTGGCGGCGATTAATTATGTTTCAGCCAACGACAAGGCAACCAGTTCCTGCTTCTCGGAGTTCCAGGAGATAGGCCCTGTCAGCTCGAGTTTGGAAAGGAAGCCTGTTCGTGACCGTCAGTTGTCACGATCAGAGGCGTGATCAGCATCCACATATTCGACAGGTGGATGGTGTCGTCAGTGTGGAATAAGAGAGCCCAATGTTGGGTGTGGAAATGAAGTACTGCAGGGGGCGCTATAGATCTTGCAGGTTTTCTCCCACTGGCCAGCTGGCTGGCAATGTAGGAAATATCGGGCCTGCGGGTGACGGAGGCGCACGGCGGGCACCCCTGTTGCTGCTAATAGAGTTGGAGTCATGCGGGTGACAGTGGTTTGTAGTTGGGCCCGGGCGTTGGATAGGGAGTTGAGAGTGGTCTAGTCTGGATGTTGAAGCGCCCCCCAAGTCACTCATCGTGCTTCGAGGCTGAGAGGTGGATGGCCTCGAAAGCGTAGGAGATATTAACTACGTCACGTTGTGGTTGGTGGTGATGTCGACGCACTGTCCTAGGTTCTTGTCGAACTGGTCGAGTGTGTTGCTCATCCCTGTGTACAACAAATTGTCCACATACTCCTCATCCCCGAGGAGTATGTAATCACCGCAGAAATGGAGGCGGTACATCCCAAGGTCGCGTGGTAGCTGCGTGAAGCCGATTTCGAGTAGGCTCTTATGTAGGTGTTGCTGCCACAGCCGCGGTGCATGCTTAATCCCGTAGCGGGATGTCTTCAGTTGGCAAACCCTCGAGTCTCCGTCGCGATAGGTGTGCGGCTGCTCCACGAAGATCACGGCCTCGACTAGTGCGTATAGGAACGCGTTCTTAACGTTGATCTCTCGTAGTGGAAAATGCCTCTTGGCGGTGATGGCGAGCGCACAGAGGAGTGCCAGCTTACAGGAACGAACGTTTGAGCGAAATGATCTCGTGGCGTTGATCGTAGCTGCGCACAACCCATCTTGCTTTGAAGCGATCAATTGACCCCTCGGCCGCGATTTCTTTACGGAAGACCCATTTTCCTGATAGAACCCTCCTTCCCATGTTTGTACCCTTAATTTTTCCTAGTGCATATTTTCTTCTCTCGACATGTATGTGGCAGTGAGGTGTTTTTGAGTTTCGTTCCGTCAAGTCGCATAATGGCTCCGAGTAAAAATACTTCGGCGGTGATGAAGTTGTTGAGGGTTTGTCGTGAGAGGTGTCCAAGTCGATGGTGCCATAGGTCATCTGTTGCGCGGATTCTAGATGTGCGGAGGTATCGCGCGCATGTCTCAGCGGGGGTTTCCTCGGGTTTTGTTTCTGCTTCTACTTCTACTTCTGCTTTTGTTGGTGTTGTGGACAGTGCGACCGCCAGGAATTGGCAGTCAAGGATGATGGAGAGGGGAATTTCCGTGCCCTCAATGGTGCCTTTAAGCTTATGCTCTTATCAGTCAAGGCGTCTCGTTGTGGTGTGGGGGTTCGGAGCCCCAGTCGATGTAGGTCCCATGGTAGTTTGAAGGACTTTCACAAGGAGTTGTGCTTCTTGTGAGCTTCTTCTTCCGAGACAATAGTTGCTTCGGTAGTGCCCCATACCAGCGTTGCCCCAGTTTCCTGGTGTAACCCCAGTCCCCTTTAGCAGTGGCCCATGTGTCGCCATTACCTCCACCCTATCTGCCTTCAGTGGAGGCTTGGCATCCCCATCCACGATTTTTGGCTTCGCTTTCCTGGTGGAGATCTTTAGCTTCATGTCGCAACAGCTCTTCTTTCTCCGCGGCACACAATTTCTTGTCCAGGTCGCGCCAGAGGGGGTAGATGGTGAGGTAGGTTTCCTTGCTGTAGGGTCGTGGCATGCCTTCCTCATCGTATGTGCCTTTTGATTCCCCTTGCAGGATCCGGTGGAGTCTTTTGTGCACAGGTCCGAGGCGCGGGCCTTCTTGCGAGCCGAAGACTCAATATGTGGTGGTGGCGAGCTCGAGGGTTGATGTGCCTTCCTCGGGTGGTGCGAAACGTTCTGCTTCATCGATCTCGTCTAGTCCTTTGCCGACCACGTTGGTGCATGAGGCGGTGGGCGTGCGGCAGTTGGTGCAGAGGCCATAGGGTGGAGGTACATTTTACGAAGGAGAGGGTGGTGAGGTTTCCGAGGTCTGACTTGAAGGTGAGTCTTTTGGGCTTCCATTGTGCTAGAAACGAAGCAGATTAGTTTGACTGAGGACCCGCTGCAGTCTGGTGTGTCAAAATCAAGAACGTATACGCTGCTGACGGAGCACGCTCGTTGTAGGTACCTGACGGGCTTGTCGGGGGCAACGTAGTGAAGCAGTATGTCGTGTGTCTCTAGGTCGGTGAGGAGTTCGACCCCACAGTCCGCAAGTTGCGGCGCAAAGAGTAGGTTGAAGCGCAGGCTTTGCACGATGAGCACGTCATTGAACATGATGTGCGTAATGCTGTCGCGTGCCTTGAGCACGGCGATTCCTTACGCGCTCGCTCTCACCTTTTTTTTTTTTTTTTTTTTTTTTTTTTTTTTTTCCGCCACAGTGATGTAAGTGACTGTAGAGGTGGGAGCGGCATTTGAGATGTAACGTCTTGATCCCACCATGTGCTGTCTGCGGCAACTGTCCAGGTACCAGTTGTCATTGTTCTTGCGCGAGAGCAGAGCGAGTCGCGTCATGATGATGTGCGGTGTGTCACATCTCAGAAATTCTTCTCGATGGCGCCGGCCTAAGTGTACCGGTCTTGGGTCGTAGATGTGAGGGGGACCTTTGAGTAGTGGGATCAGAAAATTCCAGTCTTGTCGGTTGTCATCGTTGTATTGGTGATCAAGGATGAAGAGGCTATTATCATCAACGGCGTAGATTGGTTTGCCGGTGTCTTTTGGATCTTGCGTGGGAGTCCTTCGGCGGTGGCGACCTCTGTTCTTCGTGTGGCGCCTTGCCATATTGCTTATGATATTTCTGGTTTCTCCTATTTGTGTTACTGGCTGTTACTGCTGTGTGGGGGTACGTGGCGGTTACTGGACCTGGCATGTGTCTTGTCGGCCGACCCAGTTGTTTGGTTGGGTGGAGCTTGGGTTACGAGTGTTGGAGCGGAATCTACATTGCTCAGTTGAGAGTCCAAAGTTCTTGCATATCCTATAGTAGTGGCGCTTTGGTCGTCGCTCTTCTTTGTTGTCAGTGTAGAAGGCGAGTCGTTCTCGTCATGGCGCGGGCTGCTCTTTACAGATGTCCATATCCTGTTGCTTGACGAGAAGTACGGCGCAGAGAGAGGCTTTCAAAAGCCCCCCAATTGTCGGAGAAGCGCCTTGCAGGACCTCTACTCGGGCCCGAGTTTGATAAGCACAATGATGACAAAAATATATTCTGAAATGGAGCTCCCGTGCTTCGTAATTTGGTCGCGGATGCTTCGAGAGCTGTTAATGTACGTATTTGCTTTCTCCAAGGGCCCCATTTGTATCTCCATCAGTTGTTGGAGGAGCCTATTCAATGACACCGGGTCTTTAGGCTCGTACATCTTCGTGAGATACTTCCGAGCTTCCAGTGCTGGAACCGGTTTTGCCTTGAAGGAGCCGATGCCGAGTTGCTAAGAACCGTCAAAGTCATGTAGATTTGTGCAGTTTGCAGCAATAGTTCCAGTTCAAAGGTTTCTTGCGTCAAAGACGGTGCTTGTCTTGATTTTGGAGATATTAAGGAGCCTTGCTTCGGGCTGGGTTGATGACATCATCACTTAAGCAGGGAGCTTTTGGTATTGATACTAAACAGTTTCACGACCAGTTGCAACCGGTTGATTGGGTTGGGAGGAGGTTATCGCATCGCCATTCTGCAATGATTGGAGTCCTTGCTCCAAAGTTGATAGTCGTTGAAGTAGCTGCTCCAGGGTGGCAGTGATGATTGTCTTGTCGTCTCTAGTTTTGCAGCAAGGTTAGGCAAAGGTTAAGCTATTAGATTTGTCTATCCTCCTTATCCTCCGGCCATCTTCATACGTGAGCGTGAGCCGGTCGCCACTTTCAATGCGTATAAACGTTTAGTAGTGGGGATGCGAAGAATCTCTGAGTCGCTCTCTCACCATATTAAAATCTCACGGGGGACTTAGCCAGGATCTACTCAAGATTGATCGCAGGGTGATTTGCAGCAGAAGCGAATAATGACGCCAGTCGGAATGAATGTAGTATGACAAAAGTGACTATAACAAAGACATACATGGTTTATGTAAAAATACAATAGAATCCAAAAAAAGTCAATACTACCCATTTACTATAAGGGGTGCATTCCCTTAGTACAACGAGATTCAACTGTACATCGCGCGAACCCGTTCAAACATGTTCCGACCTTTTCCCTTTCGAATGTATCTACTTGCATTGGTGACAACTGACTTCGTCGCTTCGGGTCATCTCGACCTTTGGTCTTCGTCTTCATTAACACTTGCATCTGTTATGTTTAGGAATGTCTTACACAATCCTAACTGTGAGAGTACGACGGCTTATGCTCGCATATTATGCTATATCTAGCTTGGGTTTATTTTATCATGCATAGATATGCTTGATTTCCTAGGTTAGGTGCATTCCTATATGTTATTATAGTTATAGCACCGAACCAGGTTACGTGTACCGAACTCAAGCCTATTCGGTTTCCACCGAATTGCTTTCTACTGAGTTCGGGAAGGTTCTGTTCGGGACGCTTCGCGACCCTCAGAACATTCGCGTAACACCTGAGTTACTTGCCTTGTGTCGAGCCTATATATAGCCTCGTATTGTACCCAGGTGGATCATTCAATTCAAACCCACTTTTCTGAGCTCGATCCTAGATCCTCACAGTAACGAAGGAGAAACAACACAGGGTGGTACTACGGTAGTAGCCCGTCCTCTGAGAACACACAGGACGGAGAGTTCGTCTTCCGCAACACTCCTACCGCGCTGCTGGCGACAACTACCGCGCTGCTGGCGATAAGCGCATCCCGTTCCGCAACACTCCTAACCTCGCGCTCTCGCCGCAACACCGCGCCGACTCCTACAACACATGGTATCTCGACAGCTGCCGCGGACAGCACATGGTGGGATCCAAGCGCTTCATCTCCAATGCACGACCCATCCCGCAACCCACCGTCGTCACAGTGGCCAACAATCATCGGCTTGAAGCACGCGCATGCGACATCGTCGTCCTCAAGGCCCACGACAGCGACATTCACATTCTCTACATGCATTTACTCATTTCCACTCCACTCTACTCCCCATACCTTCCACACCCCCCCTTTGCCCCTCCCTTCACCCTTTCTTCTCGCTCATTATCTCCTCCCGTACTTCACCTCCTCTGCTCGCATTTCCCTTCCCCTGCCCCCCACATTATCCCTCCTTTTCTTCTTCTTCTTCCTTTCGCTCCCCCCCATCCCTGCCATATATCCGGCACCTTTTCCTCCCTTAACACCTCTTCCCCCACCACCGGTGAAGTGAGTTGCTGGAGGCATATGCGTGTGGTGTGCGAGCGGGGCAGGCATGTGACGCCACATCAGTATTCATCCTCCCCTCCCTGTGCCTGCCCTCGTTTGCAGTGAGCTGCAGGAGGTGCATGCGGTGTGTGTGGATGGGGCGGAGATGAAAGCCATGTCAGCATTCCACCTTCCTCTCCAACACCCCGGTCCCTTCTCTCCCATTTCTCCCCCCTTATCCTCCCTCCCACTTCTCCCCCCTTACCTTCCCTCCCATTGCTCCCCCCTTACCTTCCCTCCCACTGTTCTTGCCTGCAGTGAGCTTTTAGAGGCGTATGAGGGGTGTGCGGATGGGGAGGGGGTCATAGCAATGCAGCACAGGTGGATGGAGAGGGATGCAGAGCCCTCACAGGCTAGATTGTCAAAATCTCAGCCACTAGGCAACTCGGATAAAATGGCTTGTTCTAGTAGCGGGTCAGTGCGCCCATAACCCCCAGGCTAACATGCCTATAACCCTTCCTAGGATCAACCGGGGATCCCCAGTGCCGGTCTTTTGACACCCCTGCACACTGGGATGCCTAGGATACTGACAGCGCCTTCGGCAGCATGTGCACACATGGGGATTCAAACCCGAGACCTTTCGCTCTAATACCATGTCAGATTTCCAGCCACTAGACCACTGGGATATAAGGGCTTGTTCTAGTAGCGGGTCAGTGCGCCCATAACCCACCAGGCTAACATGCCTTTAACCCTTCCTAGGATCAATCGGGGATCCCTAGTGTCGGTCTTTTCACATAGACATGCCGACACAGATGCGCCAATATGCCTTCCCTTCTCAATGTATCCCCCCCATTCTCGATGCATCCTCCCCTTCTCCATGCATCCTCCCCCACTCCATGCACCTGCCCCTCTCCATGCACCTCCCTCATCATAGGAGAGTGAAGACAAGGAGACTGCCTCAGAGCTTCTGAGCCACTTCAAGGGGGGCCACGCATTCCTCTCCCTCAACATGCAATTTTTTTACTCCTTACTCTCAGCAGGTCTTTCTCTCCCCCTTTCACACAATCCTCTTCTTCATTCCCCCCCTTCTCCTTCGACGCCTTACCCTTCCTCCTACCTTCACTCTTTCTTTACACTCATCATCACTTCTCATGCTCTGCCCTTGTTCCCCTCCCCCCTCCTCCCTCTCCTCCCCATCTGTCGCTTTCCTTCCTCATCTCCTTTCGCTTTCCCACACCATTTATTGAATAACGTCCTCTGTGCTTACGTGCCAATTCCACTGCTCTCCGCTGCTTGCCTCTGGTGAGCTGCTGGAGCCGTATGCGGCATATGCAAACAGGTCAGATGCGACACCCATGTCAGCGTTCCTCCTTCCTCTCCGCCACCCCCTTGCCTTCCCTCCAAATGCTCCACCCTTCCATCCCCTCCCACTGCTCCCCCCTTCCCTTCCCTCCCCCTGCTCTTGCCCTTAGTGAGCTGCTGGAGGCGTATGCGGCGTGTGCGTATGGGGCGGAGGTGATAACGGCGCAGCACAGGTGGATGAAGAGGGAGGCGGAGCTCGCACAGGCGAGACATGCCAGCACAGATGTGCCCTCCCTAGGTGATGCACGGATGTGCCCTCCCTAGGTGATGCACAGATGTGCCCTCCCTAGGTGATGCACAGATGTGCCCTCCCCAGGTGATGCGCAGATGTGCCTTCCCGAGGTGATGCACAGATGTGCCCTCCCGAGGTGATGCACAGATGTTCCTGTCAGAATGTGATGTTTGTGTAGCCTGCAGTGGGGTACTCTATAGCGAGTACAGCCCGAATTAGGGTTTGCCATATGTACTCAACTGCATGCTAGTGAAAACCTCTCTTTACTGTTTCTCGTTTTCGCCTACTGTTTCAACATGCTATCAGAGCAGGTCGACCCTCCTGGGTCGATCCTGTGGGTGGGCCCCACTCGATGCTTCCGCTGCTCTACTGCCTGTAGCGCGCCCCGGGCGCGTGCTGTTTCCTGCCTGCCGCGCGCTCCGGGCGCGCAGCGATTTTTCTTCCCGCCGCGCGCCCTGCCCCGTCGAACCGCGCGTCGCCCCCTGTCGACCGTCGCGTCGCCCCCCGTCGCCCGACGCGGCCCGCGCAACCTGCGCCAGGCCCGCGCGTGGCCCGTACGGGCTGCGCCAGGCCCGCGCGCGACCCGTATGGGCTGCGCCAGGCCCGCGCGCGGCCCGTACGGGCTGCGCCAGGCCCGTGCGCGGCCCGTACGGGCTGCGCCAGGCCCGCACGCGGCCCGGGCAGCCCGCGTGCGGTTCGTCCCGAGCTTCTGACCGCGCCCCACCCCCACTGCTGCCCGCGCTCCTGTGTTAGGGTTTGGGGGTGGAGAGTATGGGGGTGCCGGGTGTGTGAGCCGTCCCCTGCTCCTCCTCCTCCTCCGTCTCCCACTGCTGCAGCTGCCGCTGAGGGGGGTGGATGTGTTGGAGCCGTCGGAGTGGTATGAGGGGGGTGGCGTGTGAGCAGTGCTAGAGGTGCAGCAGGGAGTGTGTGAAAGGGGTGTGGGACAGCTGGGGGAAGTTGTGTGGAGGCAGTCGTCTTGTCGTCCGCAGCGCCTGAAGTTCAGAGAGCCACGACCCCCTGTGGCCGTGTAGTCCGGGGCTCTGCGCACGGTAGCCACAGTGTAAGCACTCCTGGTATCCAGAGAGCCACGACCCCCTGTGGCCGTGTAGTCCGGGGCTCTGCGCCCGGTAGCCACAGTGTGAGCACTCCTAGGAGCACAGCGAGCCAGCTGCGCCTGTCGCCGTGTAGTCCGGGTTTAGCCTGGTAGCAACAGTGCTGCGCACTCCTGTTGCCCGTGTGTCTGCAGCTTCAGCCGTCGTCTCGCATCTTCTCGCCCCCACAGTTTCTCCTCCTCCTCACTTGCCCTCTGTGATAGCCTATACGGTAATCGATTGAACCTCTATCCGTCATTTTCATTCCCTTCTCTCCTCCTCCCCCTTTTCCCCCCTCCTCGTTCTGGCATTTCCTTCTCCAGGCGACAGCGGAATTGGTTCAGAAGGTTCTGACTCCCATGATGCAGCTCCTCTGTTCTGCAACCAGAATTATGATTCTGGGTTGGGAAGAAGAGGTAGAGGAGGGGAGGAAGAGGTGGAGGAGGATGATGGAGATGTGAGGAAGGAGGGAATGATAAGGTCTTCTAGCCTGGACGTTAAGGCGAGGGGAGAGGGGAAGAGCACCAAGCAGGGGCAGTGGGGGCGAGGGAGGGACATGGGACGGGGGGCAGGCAAAGATGAGTGCAGGCGTTATTGTCTGCGCATTTGAGTGAGCCACTATTGTCTGTGCAAATTTTGGCAGCTTTCATAGTGCAGCACTATGCAAAATAACAAGAACACACAACTTGGAAACAGGAAAACCAAGATTTTCGCTTTGTTCTTTTCATTAGTTCTTCAAATATATTACCGTGATTTGACTGAAACTGTGGTACACCATACCAGTAAGCAAGCAGACACACTTGTATTCCCCATTCTACTACCACACACACTAAATGACAGCCAGCCGCCAACCAAATTGGTTCGTCTTCTCCGAGCAACCGCATGCAGTTGCTCACACTTCTGCTCAATCAGCCCCCACCGATCTAACGTCCCTCTGGCACTGCCAGCTTGCGCCTCCTTGCTCCCTGCCCATCCAACTAGTGTCGCCCGTTCTTCGTTTGACCACTAGCCCCTACATAATCAGTTCATGGTTGCAACAGGAGGGGGCAAATAGATGGCAGGCCACAGGATAAGACGTGAGATGAGATAGAAAGATAGTAGAGCCCGCCAGTGCAGAGCCCACCAGTGCAGAGCCCGCTCTTCTTCATGCAGCCGGCGTCACACTGGCAATTACACGACAAGTCACCATATATATACACAAAAATCTCGATTCTTTCTTGTTGGCAGCAAACAACAAGGCACTTACGAGGAGGAGGAACCTGGCATAGCTTCTTAGCGGCGTTGAACACGAGGCCCTCGGGGCACTGGCACTGCGGCTTGCCCTTCTTCACAACGCACTCAGCAGCTCCACAATCATTCTCACACATGGCTGTTGTGGGCACCAAACGAAGCATGCAGAGAAAGACGGTGGCTTTTCGGGCATATGGAGGCGATAGAAAGAAAAACAAGAAACGAGGTTGGGTGTGGGTGTGGATTATGCCAGAATGAGCAAAGCACATGCTAGCATGTCTGGCAATGTGTACGTGCGCCATTTTAAATAAGAAAACAACCCGAGTGTACATGCATGCACTAGCACTTACTGATCTCGCAGCCAACTGATAGAAGCGAAGCGATTTCCTTGACAGTCCTGAGAAGGGAGAGGTAAGGACAGGGAAGAGCAAAGGTGAGGGCAAGTTATGACATTCACGAATTAGTGTTGTACTATGTGCTCACAGACCTCTTTGTGACAGGGTAGGAACTGCCCTTCTTTGTGGGACGTGTGATTGTAAAGTCCAGCTTCTCCTTGCAGTCCCCGTCAGCGTAGAACGACAGGCTCTTGCACATGGCGTTGCCAAGCGCGAGGCTGCCAGGCGCGTTGCGCTTGGTATTCCACACGACGGTGATGTTGGTGTCGCCTTTGAGCACCGTGTACAGGTTGCCGCACGCACTGCTGCCACTGGCCTGCTCTGCCGGCACCTGCGTGGCGAAGGTGGCGTCCCTCTCGCCCGCGAAGGTGTTGCCACTTGCCTGCACTGCCACAGTCGTCCGCACCAACTGGGCTGACCAGCCGTTAAGACCGTTGGTGTGATGGTTGATGCGACGATGACAGGTCGTGGCCGTTGCAGATTGCGTGACGATGATGGAGATTTGAGGAGGGGAAGTTGCAGGATGCGTCAAGTCGGAGGCAGGGCATGGGAGAGAAGAGGAAGGAGTCGGGGGAGGGGGGGAGAGGGGGGGGGGGGGGGGGGGGTGAGGAAGGTGCAGGATGAGTGAGGAGGGGTGAACGTTTCAAGCGTTGCCTCTCAGCGGCGCCTCCCAGTGCAGCTTGTTCAAACGCTCAAACGCTGAGATGCTAACGTGCGAGGCCTCAAGAGTGCAGCACTCACCAAAGCACGTCTTGTCAGGCTCGTTGAAGTAAAATTCTTGCTTGTTGCAATCGCACTCGAATTCGGTATGAGTGAGAGTAACGCAGTGAGCCTGTAACCCACACTCCACGCCAACACACGGGTCTGCAGAGGAAGTGATGGGGGGTTACGAGATGAAGCAGGGAAAGCGGGTTAAATGAGTGGAAATGTTGCTTTTGATCGTAAGCTGTGCACTCACCCACACACCAGCACTTACCCACACACCAGCACTCACCCGCACTCCAGTACTCACCCACACACCAGCACTTCCCAACACACCAGCACTTCCTCACACACCAGCACTCACCCACACTCCAGCACTCACCCACACACCAGCACTCACCCACACACCAGCACTTCCCCACACACCAGCACTCACCCACACACCAGCACTCACCCACACACCAGCACTCACCCACACACCAGCACTCGCCCACACACCAGCACTCGCCCACACACCAGCACTCACCCACACACCAGCACTCACCCACACACCAGCACTCACCCACACACCAGCACTCACCCACACACCAGCACTCGCCCACACACCAGCACTCGCCCACACACCAGCACTCGCCCACACACCAGCACTCACCCACACACCAGCACTCGCCCACACACCAGCACTCACCCACACACCAGCACTCGCCCACACACCAGCACTCACCCACGACACATGTCTTGTGGTCGATGTCGAATACAAATCCATCCTTGCACACGCACAGGGGTATGCCAATGTCTACATCAACAGCGCAGGTGGCTTCGCCACAATCGACGAAAGCACACAGGTCTGCACAGAAATTGATATTGTTTCAAGTAAGGGCAAACGGTGCAACACCAGCACAGAAGCAACGTTAAAACAAGACATTTTCTGCTTTTGACTGTGCGTCGCTCAAGCGCACTCCAGCACTCATCCACACGCCAGCAATACAAGTCTACGGCCACTGGCGTGCGGCAGTCAGCCTGCTCACCAACAGCGCTGTCGTGGGTCGCGAGGAAGCTGATGGCAGCGAGTGCGGCGAAGCCACACAGGCCGGGCAGACGCGCGCAGGGCTTCATGGCGACGGGAGTCGGCGTAGCGATCACGGCGCGCGGGGAAACGGGATCCCAAAAACTGTCCGTCAGAAATGTTACCTCAGGCTAACCCTAAAGTTGGCCCGAGGTAACATCCCAGCGGGTTAGCCTGGGGTGCTCCAAGGGCTATGCTCGAAGTGAAGACTCTCCCACGAAGTGGCCTGTGGTGTTGCCTGCAGTGCGGACTCTGGGGTGACGACGAAGTTCGCCCGGTTCACGCGCATCAGCCTTGCGGGCCGCCCTGTGATTGGTCCAATTCCTCGCCAGATTGGCGCGAGTAACACAAGATGTTACAGAATTGTGTTGCACTCTATTTTTAGCCTTTTTATTAACATTTGTTTCGAGCACAAATTATACAATCAACATTTCTCCTTTCCCATACAGGCTGACTCATTACTGCGACAACGAATACACTACACACTAAACATAATATATAGATTACTAGCCCACTAATTTCGCATACAAAAAATCAGGGTAACCCGAAACTAGAAAATCAAATATAAAATATTACTATGCTTGCTGTTACGCCGCATATCCGAATATTTGGCAACTTGAAATGGATTGAAACAAAAAAGCCAACAAGAGCATCGCATCGACTGCGTTATTTTCACCACCTTATGCATCACAAGAAAGAAATCAGCAAGGCAACCGTGTCGACACCATATCCTAGAAAATGGATGAGCAATGTCCAGAATTAAGGTAGGGTTCTATATCTTCCTATAAAGCCTTCCTTACTAGCAATACCAGCCAGCACCCCACTAACATAGCTCCTTCAACAAGCCCAGCAACAAGCAAAACCAGCCAGCCCACCGCTATCACTGTAAGCTCATCAAGCCGAGAGAGATGCACAACCAGCCAGCACACCACAATCAGTGTTCCTTCATCAAGCCCAGCGTCAAGGGCTCTTGATTCAATCAGTCTGCTGAGTCTCATTAGCAAGTGGCGCCAGATCAAGGCCATCATCCAAAATGAGCACGAATGCTTTGCGTCGGAATGCCCATGCCTTGTGAGTTGCATGCCACCACGGGCCACGCTGGGGGGTTCTCTCGAGTATGGTGTGCCGAGCCCATGCCTTCAGCCCGTCATGGTACCACTTCACGGATGTGCCGTTCTGAGGACGGCTGCGTTTGAGAGTTGTTTTCTTCAGCAGGGGGGTCTCAACCTGCAGATTCGAGAGGAGGACAACCAGATGGGAACACGGGTGTTCAGTGCGATGATAGGATGGACAAATCAGACGGCTCGTTGAGGATTGAGTCTTACCCCGAAAAGCCAGAAGGCTATCGCGTAAAGCTTCAGAACCAGTGGTGGAGCTGCTCCGGTCTTATAGGTTGCGTAGACTCCAAGGTCGAAAGACTCTTTGGAGAATGGAATTGGTGGCTCGCCTGGGGCGCAGTGCCACGGCATCAGCCCATGTGATGCCAGACCTGCAAAGCACGATTTACAAGATTAGTAACCCCATTACTACCGCTCCTCAATGTGCTAATGTCCCTCCCTACTCACTTGATGGGTGGTCCGTCACGAACTTGTCGTCCGAGATGGGCTCTACTTCTGTGGGATCCGGGGTCGGTGGTGGGACAACGCGCGAGCTTGGCGGCTTCGTGTAGGGCAGACCGTTAAAAAAAGGCGCGCGCAACAGCCCAATACTCGGAACGAAGCTTCTGCATGGTTGTTGTGAACCTCTTGCTCCTCTCCGTCGTGCTCGAACACGCGATGCAGTTTCGCCAGATCCTCCTTACTCGTGAATTCCATGGAGTGCGCCATCGCTCGCTCCATGAGGCCATCGTCCGGCCAAAACGATGTCTCCGCGTCCGGTAGCTCGTACACGATGTACGCCTGCGCACCGTCTATCTTATCATGTAGAAGAGGATACGATGCGCATGCACCAATTACTTAAACATTGGATAGCACGCTAGTTTTATTTTGTTGGATGTAGATATATTAGCAAGCATTGGTACATCCGCAGTCGTGACTGTAGGCATGGGAGGCGAGAGCCCTGCTAATTGGGCGGGGCTTATCCCCCCTATACGCACTACGGGGGTTGGTAGATCGTCCTTGGGTTGCGCCAGATGGACACGAAGATATCCGTTCACCTGGTTGGTCCTTCCTCTGTGCTGATCTCCCTCAGCGCCTTCCTCTCATCGCTTGCCACCTGGCTCCACGCGTCATAGCCCTCATTCCTCCTTGTCCCCCCTCTTATCGCCTCTCTAACCCTCGCTGTCAGCATCACACGCGCATGCGTCATGAAACCGACCACCGCATTCCAAGCCACTTTCTTTCGCTGGAAAGGGATGTTCCTCCACGCGGCATCACATCTGGCCAGCCACAGTTGTCTGAGCACCGTTGCAATGATTGTCGTTTCCGGGAATCCTGTTCTGGTGCCCCCTTGTTCAAACAGCAGGTCCTCCAGAGAGTGAGCCCGCCTGCCTGGGTTCATGAGCTCCAGCGTTCTCGCTAGCGCGCCAATTACTGGCTGGATTGCATCGCAGCTGAAAAGGCAGTGGTCCAGTGTCTCGTAGCCTCCACAGTGGGGGCAGCTGATACTGTTCCTCATGAAATCTAGCCTCCCTCCCACCTGTAGGTTCATACTGTGCGCTCTAAGCAGGACATCCCTCGCCTTCTGCGGCACCACCAGCGAGTCTCTTCTTGCTATCGTCGCCTTCCAATCAATTTTCCTGCCCCACACGGCTTCCCACTCCCCTTGCCTTCTTGACACCCCCTTATCCACCGCCATTATCCGTCGTATCTGCTTCAGCGGTTTTACTGCCCCTCTTACGAACAGCTTGGACTCTGTAAGCAGCCTCGTCCTAGCCACCCCCACCGGCCCAATTACTTGCATCTCCTGCACAGCAACCGGCTGTACCTTACACGCCTCGAAACAGGCCTTGTAAGGTTTCTCCTCAGGCTCCAGGTTCCCCTTATCCCCCTGCCGAAGGTATGTGACTTCCAGTTTGCTCTCTTCCGCCCCCGTTACTTCCCAGTATGTGGTCTCCCCCGGCTGCCGCGTCGGTACGCTCACCACCGTTGCTACCTCCCGGAGTGCTTGCGGTGTGACAGGGGCCAGCGCAAGGGCTTTCCAGTTCGCCGGAAGTGCCTCGTAAGCCTTGAGGGCCAGTGCCGCCGCGACCTCGTCCCCCAGCTCCTCCGTCAGCTCCTCCAGGTTTTTCGGCCGCCTGCTGTCATCCAGCAGGCTCGTGAGGAGGTCCCGAACGCGCAGGTTAATGATCGTATCCGAGCCTTTCTGCAAACCGAAGGGGCTTTTCCCCCTGTGCATCACCTTCCTGTTGAAACACAGCCACTCCTCGTCCACCTCCCACCGGCACTTGGGGTCCGGGAGCTCCGCGAAAGGTGAGGCCCAGAAGGCTTCCGCCGCTGCCTTCCATCGCTCACTCCCCCCCGTCCACTTTTTCATTGCCGCCGGGTGAGCGAACCAGGTCCTTGTTCCCTGCAGGAGACCTGCCGCTTCTTCCGCCAGCCATTTCCGAACTCCTTCCGACTCCTCCAGGAACTTCCCCACTCTGCGGACTGCCAGCCCGTCCAGCCACACCTTGAGGTCCGGCAGCCCCAGGCCTCCATCCTTCCTTGGTAAGCTTAAAAGGAACGCGCTCCACAGTATGAACCTTTTCTCGTCCGTTGCCTCCCCTCCGGAGACAAAATTGTGGCACAGCTTTCGTATCTTCTCCCAAATTCCGCCCGGTGGTGAGTATACTTGAGCTTGAAACATCATAATCGGGAGCACATAGCAGGCGACCACCGCTACTCTCGCTGACGTTGTCAGGTACTGCGCCTCCCATCTCCCCAGTTCTTCCTTCACCCTCTCGTAGGTCTTATCCCAAGAAGGCCCCGCGTCGCCGCTCGGTGTTACCCAGACCCCCAAGAGTCTCTCCGGCTCCTCCTTCTCTGCCCACTTGAAGGTGAGTCCAAGCGGCGCCGACTTGCCACGGTTGCTGCCTAATGGTAGCACGACCGACTTCCCGCAATTGACCTTCAGGCCTGACTGCTTCCCGAAAGTCTCAAACACCTTCTCTGATTCCCTTAGCTGCGTTTCCCCCTCTAGGAGAAAGGATGTGTCATCCGCATAACCCACATACGACAGGCGCTGGGCGTTGGGCGTGCACACTCCCAGCCCTCTACAGACCGTCTCCCTGCAAAGCGGCTCCAAAGCGCAGAGGAACAGGTAAGGCGCCAGTGGGCATCCTTGCCGCACCCCCCGTCCCATCTCGATTTTCTCGCTCAGCCAACCAATTACCGCCACCTTTGTACCGGCTCCTGTGTGCAGTCCCTCTGTCCAGCGGACAAACACCTCCGGTATGCCCAGCTCCTTCATCGTCCTGAACAAGAAGCCCCGTGCTACCGTATCATACGCCTTCTGGAAGTCGACAAGCAGCAGCAGCCAGTCTTTCCCGCCGTTGTTTGCGGCGTCCAACGCATCTGCCACCACTGACACCACATCCGCCAGGTTCCTCCCTGGTAAGAAGCCGTGCTGTTCCTTGGAGAGCACTTTCCCCAGCACCTTCTTAAGGCGCGTCGCCATCACCTTCGCCACCACCTTGTAGAGGGTATTTAGAAGCGTAATTGGTCGGTAGTTTCCGAGCTGATCTCTCCCTCCTTTCTTGTGCAGGAGGACCGTGACCGCTGTCGTGAGACCCTTCGGCAGCCGCCCCGTGCTCTCGAACTCCCTGACGAAATTCATCACCAGGCCGCCCACCGATTCCCAGTGAGCGATAAAGAACTCCGCCGGCAGTCCATCCTGCCCCGGAGATTTACCCTTCGGTTGTGAAGCCAGCGCTTCCTTGACCTCCGTCTCCGACCACCCTCTACCAAGTCCCGCTGCATCCGCCTCTGAGAGTCGCGGCCCCTGTGCGAAGCTCTCCCAGTCCACTTCCTCTTCTGGGCTTATCTCCCGGAAAGCATCGCCAAAATGTTCTTCAACTGCCTTCAGCACCTCCCTTGTCCCGCGGTACGTAGCCCCATTGTGAGCGACCTCCTGCACCAAAGTACGCTGCTTCCGTATTTTGATCTTGGCTGTGAGGTACGGCGATGGGACCTCTCCATTTAGCTCCACGTTCAGCCCGGCTAACACTTGCAGTCTCTCCCTGTCCCTTTCCAGGTATGCTTCCAACTGCGCCTCCACTCGGATCAGTCTGTTCTGCAACCCCCTGTGCCTCGGGCGCTGCATTACTGCGTGACGCACCACCTCCACCTCCTTCTCCAGGTGCGTGACCGTTGCCTTGACCCTCCTTTTCACTTCCCGGGTGTGAGCCCGTAAGCCCGCCGTGACTAACTTCAGTGTCTTATCCAGGCTGTTTGCCGGCTCTTCCGCTACCTTGCACATTATTCTCTCCGTCACCGCCTTAACTCCCCTCGTGTCCACCTGTTTCGCCTGCAGCCTCCACATGCCCGGGCCCCTCTCCAACGACGCTGCCGGCGAGAAGGCCAGCCTGATTGCGAACCAATGGTCCGAGAGCGACTTCGGAACATAGACATGCTTCGCCTTCGCCAAGAGTCCCACCGCTGATAACGAGACCAACGCGCGATCAATCCGCGAGCTGGTCTGCGTCGACCTCGAGTAGAAAGTGTACTCACGCCTGGACGGGTGCAGCGCGCGGAAAACGTCACGGGTATCGTATGCTGACCAAAGCTTCCTCAGTCTCACATCCTCCGACGCCGAGCCTGCTCGCGACGACCGGTCCAGCTCCGGGTCTTCCACCAGGTTCAGATCCCCCATCACAACCAGATGAGTTGTCACCGGCTGCATCCGCACGAACGGGGTGAGGCAGTCCGTGAGGAACGTGTCTCTGGTGCCCGCCTGAGCCGGCAGATAAGCCGCGATCAGCCGGAAGGTCAGATGTGCGGTGCAAACTGTGACTCCCACCAGCCTGCCCGAGGTATGCTTAATGACATCCTTAAAACGGATTCCCTCCGTAAAGGCGAGAATCGTCACCCCCCCCGCCTTTTGACTTGGAGCCACTGCTGCCACCGCCTTTGGCCGCAGTTGCGTCCAGAAGTTATGGTCCTCTCCTACACGTGTGTCCGTTAGTACCATGATATCCGCTGTTTTCCTGATCCAACTACTGTTCTTGCTTCTTTTGCCATTGCTTCCGAGGCCATTGACGTTGACCTCGCACAGTGTGATGTTGTTGGAGTTGTTACCCATTAAAACACTGCTCTGGAGCCCCATAGCATCTACGGGCTTTAGTACAACCAAGTGACGACATGCAACCAAACTGCTGACAACATCTGTTGGTCCTGCTGCACCAACCAGTCGCCCGGGACCATTGACCCCCCGTCAGCAACCTCAATGAAGACCCTTCTACAGCGCAAACTCCTTCTGGATCGCCGTCAGGTTCACCTTCCCCCTGCTTTTGCGTCTAGCTTCTCCTCCTTTCATGAGTGCCGTGCAGTGCTGAACGGAGCGGACATGCTTCAGTGCCTGAGCGAAACTGGTACCCTTCGTCTTCCCGCAGGACTCCTGGACGCGGATCCAGTCCTCCCTGCTGCCTCCCGTGGAAACCAGGGTAACAGCCGGATCGCGCAGGACCTTCTTCATCGTCGGGTTGAGCAGATGCGAGGCCGCTGCTCACGGAGGGAGAACAGAGGCCGTCAGCGTTCCAGGTCTGGACCCCGACAGCCTGCACAACAAGGTTAGCGACAACTCCTTTACCGTTGATGTCGTGAATGCGCTGCAGATTCAGGTTCCACTTTGCAATATTCTCCTGTCTGTCCACAACGTAGTCATCATGCAGCTTCGTGAAATGCATGCCGTTGCAATAGTCACACGTTAACGACGGGAAATGCACGAGCAGTTGCTTGTGATGAACCGTATCATAAAGCATGTGCCACCAGCGATACTTATCCCCCGGGTGAAGTTTCACCAGCCCCTTTATCTTGTGCGTGTCAGTTCCTGTGACAGGGTCCACCACGCGATGAAACGCAGCACCCGACTGGTACGGTGGACGGCCGCGTTTCTCCAGCGGGGTCTTCACCAGCAGCTTGTATATCATGTCCGGTGAGATCTCCGCCGGAACTCCTTTCAACAGCACATCGATCGCATCCGAGTTCTGAGCACGTTCCTTAATGTACAGCGGATTCTCCGGGTGCTGCCAGCTCAAGGTGAGCTTCGTTTTCCCGTCCACACAAATATGATCCACGCGACGACACCATACATAGTTCGCATCCACGGTCTCCCGAAAAGTGACCTGCAGCCTCCCAAAACGCTTCTTCGAGAGGTAGGCCCCTTGCAGAACCTGAATCTTGGTGGTCGTCTGAGCATGCGGCGACAGAGCCTTCCTCCATATCACCAGCAGCTCCTTCACCGTGTCAATAGTGCGTGGCACCTCGTCTTCATACTTCTGCGGGATCACCAGGGTAAGCGTGTAGCCAGCCAAAGCCGCAATCTCGCCGGCTTTGACAGGATCCAGGTGCTCCTCAGGATCATCACTCAAGTAACCATCACCTTCTTCCTCCTCTTCGTCATCCGTGTCAACAGGTTCCGGGCGAGCCTCAGCAGACGGCGCGTCCATTTCAGGCGTCTTCCCCTTCCCTTCTTGTTGCGTTAGCAACTTCCCCTGATGCGTTAGCCTCCATGTTCTTGAAGCTCAACGAAGCCAGCTTCTTCTCCAGCGACATCCGAGCATCATCAGCGAACGGACCGATTGTCTCCTTCAGCGTCGGCTTCGGCGTAGCAGGTTCCGACTGGTGGCCTTTGGCCGCTAACTCTGCAACACTGCCCTTGAGAAGAGCAGCAGCTTTCTTAGGAGGCCGACCCATGGTGCGATGATGAAACTGATAAACCAGCAGTCTTGCTGACAATAAGGAGCTGAGCACCAATACTTTAATAGCCTTCCTGGTAGCCTTGTTCCTTTTTTTCTTCCTGGTTATGCCACGACAATATCCATGACGGAGAGGCGATCTGTAGTGAAGCCTCGCTGAACCAGTTAGATCGTTGTGTATGACTTGTAGATCGTTCCAATAGGAGGGATAATTCCGAAGTGCCTTAGGAAATGTACGAGACTCCTGATCGACAGGTGTCATTATTCTTGAAGTTGCATACTGGCATCCGAACTCCTGACAAACGCAAGGTTGGTAACATGTCCTCTGTATGGACATAAAAATTATACCCCCGGATGCGCCTTGCCACGTAGGTTCCGGAAATGACCTTCGATGTTGCAACTGACAAGAAATTGCATGACATTGGTCGGCTTGAAAGTCTGGAGGAAATCCATGGCGGCCTTGGAGTCATTGTCATTGTCATTGGATAGCACGCTAGTGTTATACATTACACCACATACGTGCACGACTATCAACTATGGAAAGGTCGTTAAGCTCCAATGTGAAATGTGTACTTGTCAAAAGCGAGGTTGGTAGGATATACCTGTAGGCCCTTGTTGACCTTCGAAATAGATAGGTCAGCCTCTCCGAGAGTACGTGCATAACCTTGCATCCCTTCGCTCATGGGCACGTGGGCAGCGTATCGCGCATGGAACTCCTGCAGCATAGCTTCATGCACAAAGGGCGAATACTGCAGGGGGGGGGAAACTGGAGGGGGATTGTGACAGCATGTCGTCGTGGCTCCAGCTGTCCTTTGGTCCCCTCCATTCCTTGCATCGTGCTGCTTTGGACGCTTTGGGCGCGGGTCGTCTGCATGGGTGCTCATCTGCTGTGCCGTCCCCGCCGGAGTATTTGTCCTCGGCTCCAGAATCTCGCGATCCTGTGCCCGAACGCGCGCGCGGAGAGCCTCCACGAACTCGGTAGTGTACCGATTAGGCGAGTGGGTAGGTCCACTTGGGGGGATAACAGGACCCTGCCCTCCGGATCGAGCACTGGCAGGGTTCCCATTGCCATCGACCGATGGTGCACGCGGCGCAGCATTAGACACTGCAAACACTGGACGCTGTTGCCGCAGGGACTCTGTTTGTATGGGTGAGAGGAGACATTCTACAAATGAAGACCGTCGTCTCATAACTGGCTCAAACCATATTGCAAGCACACATCAAAATCAAACCAACATGCGGGCAATATCCATGCCTTCGTATTCTTCGTCGACCGGATAGTCGTCTTTGTCGTTTCACGCTGCGTCATCCTCTGGTTCGATACCGGCAGCCCACGTTGCGTATCCAGTTTCCCCTGAACATCCTTCACGGTTGGTAGCTGCTGTACGACCAGAACGCGCGGCGTCTACCTCATGACCAGCAAAATCCTTACTGCGAGAACTAGGGTCGTACCAAACGAATACATTGCCTGTGCTCTGACGTCGAGTCAATAGGCGTGTGGAAGCGCGAAGCCCTTGAGGGCGGGGTGAGCTTTGTCGATACATTGTGTTGAACGTATTCTCTCCATCAAGAAGTGAGATGGGTTGATCGCTGAGCGATGGTTAAGTAATGTGCCGGTGTGCTCAGCGTATGCTAAGGAACGATGGAATCAAGAAGTCTACAGCCACTGCCAGCCTATGTTCCTCTCGTCACATGTGCCCTTATACTAGTGGGTGATTGTCATGGGCATATGTTCCAGGTCAGTAGATCAATCATTCTAGCTCATTTCTAGCAAAATTTCGCGCACTCTAAGGTCCTGAAAAAAGTACCAGGAGAAATCTCACATCTTCGCCAATTCATGGTGGTGACAACGGTGACTTGCCACGATTCTTTTCCTGATACTTCAAAAACTCATTGATCCGGTATAGGTGTTAGGGAAACAGCTGTACTTCGATCTGGCGGAGGCCAACAGGACACAATGCAAGCTGACATATTACCAAGGTGAAGCACCGCATGAATCTGCCCCATACAAACGTGAGGACCGTGATAGCGGTCGCGGGGGGGGGGGGGGGGGGTTTCTCCAGATGAGCAGTGTAACTGTGGAGGGTCGGACTTCAAGTTCCGGCCACATCTGTGCATGGCAAGATTTTTCTCCCCCCCGGTGCAAACCGGCGTATGGTTCTGATCACTGCCACCCGGTGAATTTAACCCTGAACCGTTGAGCTAAACAGTGGTAAGGGCATGTAAACTCTCGTAACCACTCAACCGATTCTGAGCATCGTTGGCCTCTGCCCCGGCTGGACGTCTTGGCGCGTGCACGTACAGTTCACAGTGGCCACCGTCAACCGTCCGTAAATATTCGTTTACAGCGCGGCAAACCTGGGTTTCTAGTGGTGAGTCATACATCGAGCTTACTGCCAGTTCACGTGCAGCCAGGTCAAGTGCGGTGGTGGTGACGTAATATGGCATCTGCCGTAAGATATCGGTCAATATGTTCGCCTGATTCCTCACCTTTACAATTACAGTCATGAGCTGACCAATATTTTGACATGCGTATAATAAATCACAAAAGTACATATGATGATCTTTGCACGCCACTTATTTTAAGGTGCTAGAAATGCCTCATGCACTCTTGCCAAACATTTGCAGAGTAAGACAATGGACTATCTGGTCTCCATTGTCCCACGCAGGATGTTGCCATGGGTACACTAGGAGATTACATCCCTCTATGTAGCGCCAACTCCTAGTACTCATCCCTGGTCGCTCCCACCAAGCTCTCATACCTAACGCATGTGACAACACACCCACAGCCATCCCCTCGTCACCGCCAACGTGAGTAAAGCAAGGTGGCTCGTTACCACTGCGCCCAGGCAATCGTGCCCGCTGAAACACAAGCCGTGCATCGCTTTCGCCCTCACGGTCATAATTGTCGCGCTCTACCTGCGTACAGACGCCAAAACGGTGTGTTACGATACATTTTAGTGCACCAAAGCGCGTGGTTTGCAAGACAGAGTGGGTATGCCACGGCTTACCACCCAGCCTTCACTCATGGCGAAGTTCATGAGCTATTTCCGGTAGTTGTTCGCAGGTTGCTCATCCGCATACAAGGTTGACTGGCCAGTAGCGGAGTAGTTGATATTGCGGAAGTCTGTCGCAACTTCCATAAAAACAGTGAGGTAATGCTCACGCAGTAAGAAGTCCAGTGAGTTGTGGTACAGAGAAACAATGCACAGTTTCTCGACTTCAGTAATCTCGTTCACATCCCACAGCCTACGATAGCCAATCATCGCCTTAATCACGTTTGCGCGAACGACGTGTGTCGCAGTCCTGCTACGGGTTGTGAGACACTGTAGGCTGTCATCCAACTTGCGAGGCGTAACGAAATCTCCAGCCTCACGCAGGCGCATATATTCGTTTTGAAGCCACACACTGGATATCGAAGGTAATCCCTAACTAATTCGTCGGTATTTCTCGGACGTTTCTTCACAGGGTGGTCCGGAGGCCATGTCGGGCCACGGTTGGCGCCCCATGGATTATTGAGCGCAAGAACCACTTCACGGTATTTTTCTTTGGCTGGATTGAATATGGTGAGCGGAGTGGTCGCACAGCTGTGTGGCTGGAAGAATGTTGCTTTGAGTTGGTTATGGACTTCCCGTCAGGTCCAATCTGACGGGGAACAAGAAGCAGTACGTTGGCGTATTCAGTTTAAAGTTTCGCAGGTTGCCTTTTGTGTCGCCACGCGCATCTGTACTTCACAGAAGCTGTTAAAAAACGGGGGCGCCAGTCCATGTCATGACAAGTCTGACATGACACTGGTTATAATGTCACACCTAGCTTCACCTGTCCTCCAGTCCACCAAACAGACGTTTGCTCCGTGTAAACAGCGATTTGCAACAGGGTAGAATGCCTAACCTGACGATATCGTTATGCTCTTGTGCCAGTAACATCTGCTTGATTGCACCAATAGCGCCGCATCAAACACCTCGTATATTTTGGAATTCGTTCGTACGTGCGTATGTTTATGCGTGTAATGGAAGGTGACAATGAGGATAACCGGACCCCACTCAATCGCTGCATCGAGATCGTATTATCTAACTTCATCTGCTTCTGACAGGTTTCAAGAAACAAGAAGGTTAGACGCCACGACTGCATCTCAGCGCAGCTCAAGCTCACGATATCGTATAATGACTGTTGACAACCACGCGTAAGCACACATAGTGTAAGCGTGCCGGAACCGAGTAGGTCGTACCGCTGTGCCTTACCGTACGATGGTGCGTATGTCACCCATTGAATGGCATTCTCAATGCGTGGCTGCTACACGCGAGTTTCGACATATGCCTTCACGAATATAAAAAACCGCCGCCACGCAGAGATTACAGCACGCAGCAGGCATTAATAGACATCCCCATGTCGCAATTCGCATTCTAGCCATCGCGAATACCGAGCTGCCATGGATGATCCTCGCTTCCCGCGACATATGCAGCGTCAAGCTCCGCAAAATATGCACTCGCCAGGGTCGCAAATACACATACGTCATGCATCACATGGCCTTGCCCATTGTCGGCGTGTCTGTACCAATATACAGGCAAAACAACACAATATCAGTAGTGGTTTACACTCCAGTGAAACACGCATGGTTTGGTAGGGTGCATTTCTGGCGTTCAATGCTCGATTCGAGACTCTCTGGACGGGCCACAGCCGTGCTCCATCACATGGACCCAATACATTTCCAGACTCACTCTATTTGACGTGATATTCACTCACTCCCTGTG